GTGACCCTTTTAGGGTCCAAGAGTTTGATCTCTTAAATTAACGTAAGCATCTTAAATTTTTGCCAGGCTAGTTTTCAGATTTATTGGTATAACAACTATTAAGACATGACAAAAGAACAACAGTAGTCAATATTCTGGTAGATAGAAGGTCCCTGAAGATGGGCTCCAGCATGAATCTGAAAGCTCGGAAGAGTAAAATTCTGCTCCTGGTGACCAACCCAAATTGGATCCTGCAGTTGTTCTTTTGTCAGGTTTTAATAGTTTTATCCCAATCAATCTGAAAACTATCCAAAGATTTACTCTTTAGAGCTTTTGGACTCATGCTGGAATTGTTCTGGTACATTCTGGTGTGAGATAAGTTCCCTGAGGATGGGCTCCAGCACAAGTCCAAAAGCTTGGAAGACTAAACTTGTGGTCTCAGGGACCAACCCTGCAACATTATCCTGGAACACGTATATTTGCCTTCATTCATAAAAGAACAACTCGGTGATATTGTATTCCATTGGCCCAACAAAAGCAATTGATGAATAGAGGTTAGTCCTGTGTCTTCTCTGTAACCCTCAATCTAGAGACTATAGTCTAGGATTCCCTGATAGTCTTCCACCAAGTACTATCAGGCTTGGTCCTGCTTACTTTCTAAAACCAGACAAGAAATACTAAATCTTCCAACTTATATATTCATTTAAGATGCTTAACCTGGCCACTATATTAAAGATTTTTGAGGATTTGCACAATAGCCTAAATGAGAAACTAAACAATGGCCCAGATTCCATCATTTCAGCCACAACAAACTTATCTAGCATTAACATTAACCAAAGTTAATATGTTGCATGACTGCATCTACTGTAATTTCCTCTGATCTGGTTAAATATATTGTCAAATACAATTTCTGAGTTTATATTTGTAATTTGCACAGGTAGAGGTGGAAAATCAAATCCTGTAAACCCTAGTGAGCGTAACTAAACCATTAGATTTTTATTTGGAGCGATGAAATATTAGCAGGATTTGATAAAGATACAAGATTTTCCTCAACCATAAAAATCACTCTGGTGGCCAGGCCCATTCAAAATCGCTCACCCTGATTTATTTCAAAAGAATGTTTGGGAAGACTAAAATAGTTAATAGGAAATGAGGATTATATCCTCTACCTGATATGATATCAATATAGTAATAAAAACAATAAAATTGCATGAAATCACAGGGGAAATGCTGTTTATTTACAACCTATCAAAACTGTAGATAATGCATGTTTACACAGATAGCACTTCGTTCAAATTTCTGTTGAGGTTTTCTAGTCCAACCCCCTGCTCAGGCAGGAAATCCTGTACCATTTCAGACAAATGGCTGTCCAATCTCTTCTTAAAAACCTCCAGTGTTGGAGCAGCCACAATTTCTGGAGGCAAGTCGTTCCACTGATTAATTGTTCAGTCAGGAAATTTCTCCTTAGTTCTCGGTTGCTTCTTTCCTTGATTATTTTCCATCTATTGCTTCTTATCCTGCTGTCAGGTGCTTTGGATTTCTACTCTTTGGTTATGCTCTATTTTAAACATTTATTATTTTTTAAAATAATAAACTGTCAGGATAAGACAGTCTATAGCAGGGATATCAAACTTGCAACGTCACGTGACGTATCATGATGTTGCCGGCAATGGGGTGGATGCGGTTTTGCCATGACGCATCCAGCCCATGGGCTGGCAGTTTGACACCTCTGGTTTATAGCAATATTGGCTAGGTTGGTATTAATTGTTGTCATGCATTGTATTTCCCACAGGGAGATGTTATGAGATAAATGAAGCTACTTTTTTTTAAAAAAAGAAGTAACTTAACATTGGCTTAAAGGTAACACTCAGCAACATTTATTTAATCTGTTCAGTTTCAAAATTAGTGCATGCTCTGAATTAGAGTCCAGAGACAGGAACTGGATATACCCATATCCTCTTTCTTTTCGAAATGTGCTGGCCTGGGGGACCAAAAATAAAATGGAAACCTTTTTGCCTTTCAAATAAAGAAACGAACTGTAGTCCTTCTGAAATCTTGATCGTAAGATTGGAATTCATGTCTATGACAATGTAAGAAAACTTAAATCTTCAGTGTAGGCCAAGGGTAGGCAACCTTGGCTCTTTTATGACTCGTGGACTTCAACTCCCAAAATTCCTGAGCCAGCATAGCTGGCTCAGGAATTCTGGGAGTTGAAGTCCACGAGTCATAAAAGAGCCAAGGTTGCCTACCCCTGGTGTAGGCTGCCAAACATCCATAACACTGTGGCGATTCTCAGTCATCCAGGTCATAGTTGTCTCGAAGGTCCTTTTTCAGATTTGAACTCTCCCTGAGACCTCTTGAAGGCACTTGGGGAGTTTATCTGTGCCCTCACATACACCTGCATCAGAGTGCAAATGTGGGGGGGATCTCTTCTTGGAACTGCTGAAAAGACTGCAGGATGACTGCAAAGAAATATGATTCTTCCAACATCCCACTCCCCCAGTCAGAACGAATCCCTCCATAGCCCTCACCACTCTGCCAGAGCCAATGAAGCTTCTTGGACGAGAAGCTTAATGTCTTCTCCTTCTTTCTCAAAGAAGAAACAGTCCAGTTGTCTTTTGAAAAAGCAACTTTGAGACCCACAACACTGTTATCCATCACCTTGTTTCTGCCCTTGATGTTGCTTGGCTCCATGATATGATTCACTTTCACAGAAAAGCAAGGAAAAGAGTGAAGAGATGCACGATAGAAGCATGTTCCCATCATTTACATAATAAAATTATACTGAAGATAATGCCAGTGCCGTGAGATCTCTAGAGAAGCATCTGTACCCTGCCTCTGTGAAGCGTCTCCTCCAATGTAATTGCATTGGTAGGACAAGTTTTTAAACTGTATTTAACCAGAGCCAGACTTCATTCGCCACACTTATTCAGCCCATTTTATTTTGCAATGCTCAGAAACATAGCTGTTCCTATCTCTGCATATCCATTCCTTTAATTCCAACACATCTACATATGTTCCTGAACAAGATTTTAAAAAAATGTTTATTAAATTTATATGCCGCCAACTCACCAATAAAGTAACCCTAGGTGGCATATAAATACTTCTTAAATACAGATAGTCCTTGACTTACAACAGCTCGTTTAGTAACCATTCGAAGTTACAGCAGTACTGAAAAAAGAGATTTATGATCGGTTTTTTTCTCGCTTATGACCATAGCAGCATCCCCATGGTCACATGATCAAAATTCAAACACTTGGCAACTGACTCATATTTATGATGGTTGCAGTTTCCCAGGACCACCTTTTATGACCTGACAAGCAAAGTCAACGGCGAAGCCCAACTCACTTAACAACTGTGTTACTAACAACTGCAGTTGATTCACTTAACAACTGTGGCAAGAAAGGTCATACAACGAGGCAAAACTCATTGAGCAAATGTCTCACGTAGCCACATAAAGTTTGGGCTCAATTGTGGTCGTACGTTGAGGATGATCTGTACTTCCTAAAGGCAACATTGGACCCTGAGTATGCCAAAGAGGAATGCTAAAGAGGAAGAAGGACTTGTGGCAACAGAAACAGACAGAGCATTCTAACTAAAGGGGAGGGGAGGGAATGTTGCATGGAATGAAATATGAGAAGCATGTTGCTGCAGGGCAGACCCATCATGCTTTGACTTTTGCATAGAATTTTGCAAAAGATCCAGGTGGTGACTCCTCCCAAGTATAAAAGGACTGCAGCAGCAGCAACAACAAGATGGTCCTTTTCAGCCAATTCCATCAGTTTTCCTTTTAGAAAAAGATTGTTAAGGAGGAAAGCATGAAACCGCTGCAATATGCTTTTTAATAAGCAACCTTCCAGCTGGAGGCATCCAAGACTACAAAATAGAAGAAGTGAATACCGATGAGCGATCTGCTAATCTGCAAAGTAGATTTCATTTGATTAAAAAAAAAACACCTAAAAACCTAGGAATACAGCTGTTGTGAATACATTGTCTCATTTTCACAAGCTTCCCTTTCACAAGCTTCCTTCTGTATTTACCTCCCAAACTACTATCACCCTGGCAGCAATTGGACATCAGATGTGGCAGAAGCAGAATATGATCTGACTGACGGCATTTCTGTTTTCAAAGTCCAGAGCAACTTACGTCGACCGAAAGGAAATAAATGTTTGCTGAACTTTCCTTAAGCTACATAATAAATGGAGCAAACCAATATTAATGCAGTGGATTTGCCTGACTGGCAAAACACCTTATTCTTGGAATTTATATGTATACATAGGCACGTGCGCGCGCACACACACACACACACCCTTTTTGAGCATGAGCAACTTGTTTTGGGCTTTTTTTTCCCTTTGCCCAAGCACCACTCTTGTATTCCAGAGAATGCAGGTAGTCCTCAACTTACAATAATTCCTTTAGTGACTGTTCAAAGTTACAACACTGAAAAAAATGGTTTATGACTGTTTCCCGCACTTCTGACCACTCCATAGTCACATGATCAAAATTGAGGTAGATGGCAACTGGCTCATATTTACGATTGTTACAATGTCCTGGTGTTCCACTTTTGCGACCTTCTGACAAGCAAAGTCAATGGGGAAGCCAGAGTCACTTTACAACCGTGTGGCTAATTTAACAACTTCAGTGATTCATTGAACAGACTAGGCATGAAAAGTTGTAAAATGAGATAAAACTCACTTAACAATTAGCAATGGAAATTTAGGGCTCAGTTGTGGTTGTAAGTTGAGGAATACCTGTACGATGGATCGCCTGGACAGTGGGTCCCCCATTAAATCGAGAGCTCCTCCTGAAGTTTTGTGCTTTGCCTCTTTTGCACAAAGCTTGTGAGAATCCATAACTCAGTATGTTTCTGAGTGAACCGAGAAATTATGAGAGCACTCTGCAAAATCAACCACTAATAGAGGACAGATTTAACCTTCCACGCATTTATATTTTTTAAAAAACCTGTTTTCTCCAGAGCTTCTGCTGGACTGACTTCAAGCCTTTCTCCTGCGACGATGCTTCTAAGCCTCTTGGGTGGCTCCCAAATACTCCATTTCAGTAGGTCCCCCAATATCTTTCTTGCTTCGGCGGCGGAACTCTTCTGCAATCTCCTCAAAGGACTTGCCTTTGGTTTCTGGCACTTTCAAGTAAACAAATAAGACGAAAAGGAGCAGGAGGGCAGCAAAGACCAGAAAGACATAGGAGCCCAATAGTTTCTGTGATGGGTGAGAAACAAAGAGAGAGGATGTTACCATCACTGATTTCAGGAAGGCTGGCAATTTCAGAATATACCCACCCTTCAATATTACACGTGGTCCTCGACTTATAGCCACAACCGGTCCTAAAATTTCTGTTGCTAAGCGAGCCAGTTAAGTGAGTTTGGCCCCATTTTACGACCTTTTTTGCCACAGTTCTTAAGTGAATTTGCTGTAGTTGTTCAGGTAGTAGTAACACGGTTGTTAAGTGAATCTGGCTTCCCCATTGACTTTGCTTGTCAGAAGGTCGCAAAAGGTGATCGCGTGACCCAGGGACACTGTAGCCGTCATAAATATGAGCCAGTTCTCAGCATCTGAATTTTGATTGCATGACCATGGGGATATTGCATTGGTCATTAAATGTGGAAAAAAAACCCGGTGATAAGTCACTTTTTTCAGTGCTGTTGTAACTTTGAAAGGTCACTAAATGAACGGCTGTAAGTCGAGGACTACCAATATTCAGTTTTCAGAATGAACCACAATCGTGGAGGTGAAAAGGGTCCCACACTCACCCGCTGTCTTCCACAGTTATTTACACAGTGCAGAATTTGCTGCTATTTAAAAAAAATATCACAATGTTTATAAGAAATAATAAAAACAAGAGACTGGGCATGGATGTGAAAGAGGGTTGAAAAGATGGGGAGAATGCTTTTCTGAAGACCTTCAGGAACCCAAACCCTAACCTAGTAACCAGGTTTCACCTGCTGCATGCTAATATTGCTCTGCCTCTTCTATTTCTGATTCACAGAAAAAGTACACATCTGTATGTAAATATGCTTGTTTGGCATAAATTCCAATAGCATCATGTGTATTTTTTTTTACATAGTTTCGCTCTTGCATTGTTCACAGTTCTGAAAGCATAACCACACAGATTCCAGCTTTGTTTGGGCATTGTCCATCTGTGGTACAGTCTTGTGATTCTCCCAAAGGAGCTTCTTCAAAAGGCAGTTGGACTTTGTTTTTCCTTGAAGACGTTTCGCTTCTCATCCAAGAAGCTTCTTCAGTTCTGGCTGAATGAACTGGAGGAATCAGAACTGAAGAAGCTTCTTGGATGAGAAGCGAAACGTCTTCAAGGGAAAACAAAGTCCAGTTGCCTTCCGAAAAAGCACCTTTGCGACAACCATGACCTGGATCACTGAGAATCTCCGCAGACATACAGTATATTCTGTGACAGGAATCTGGCAGCAGTTCCCTCAGATATGAGTTGTTTCCATCCTACGCTACCTGGAATCTTTTTACCTGGATATATCAGGATTAGGACATGATTAACTGAGATATGGCCCTATCCCCTTCCGACCAAACTGATACCTTCCATGATACTAAGGAGCCATAGCTTCCTTCTAGGCCAGAGGTAGGCAACCTTGGCTCTTTTATGACTCGTGGACTTCAACTCCCAGAATTCCTGAGCCGGCCATGCTGGCTCAGGAATTCTGGGAGTTGAAGTCCACGAGTCATAAAAGAGCCAAGGTTGCCTACCCCGGCCTAGGCCTTCAAAATAGAAAGTTGCAGTAGTGGGTAATGTGAAGACCTGCACCCACGACTCAAGTGAGCTGCTGTGTCTTCCACATAGGCAATACTGGTCTGTATTAAGGTATTCAGTCTTAGCATCTTTCACATGTTTTGAATACTAGGATTGTCCAGCACTTCAGATCTGAAAGTGAAAAGCTACTTCAGAGCAGGTAGTGGCTTGAATGTAGCATCTGACTAAAAATCCTGAAAGCATCCATGCCATTTCCCAGTTTTGGGGGTGTCCTGGTTTGAAGAGTTGCAGGGAGATGTTATATTTGTGCTACTATGTGCAGGTAGCCCTGGATGTACGACCATAATTGACCCCAACCTTTCTGTTGCTAAGTGAAGCATTTGTTAAATGAATTTTGCCCCATTTTACAATCTTTCTTGCCACAGCTGTTAAGTGGATCACTGTAATTGTTACGTTAGTAACATGGTTGTTGAGTGAATCTAGCTTCCCCATTGCTTGTAAGAAGGTCACAAAAGGTGATCACATGACCCCCGGGACACTTCAATTATCATAAACAACTCAGTTGCCAAGCTTCCGCATTTTGATCACATGATTATGGGGGGAATGCTGCAGTGGTCATTAAGTGTGAAAAACAGTCATAAGTCACTTTTTTCAGTGCTGTTATACAGGGGTAGGCAACCTTGGCTCTTTTATGACTCGTGGACTTCAACTCCAAGAATTCGTGAGTCATCATAGCTGGCTCAGGAATTCTGGGAGTTGAAGTCCACGAGTCATAAAAGAGCCAAGGTTGCCTTCCTCTGTGTTGTACCTTTGAAGGGTTACTAAACGAACTGTTGTAAGTTGAGGTCTACCTGTAGTGCACATCTTCCAGTATATTACTCCTAGCCCCAAATCCAATATTGTTGGCATCTGTTCATCATGAACAGATGAAGCTGAAGTCATCTCTTAATGTTAGTCATGATACTCTACGAATAAGTATGGAATCCACTCCTACCTTGATGTCACGGTAAAGTCTAAAAACATAATATTCTGTTGTTCATTTTATCTACAAGCTAGATATAAAATGGTCAACAGAATATTACTTTTAAGGGGCAAATCCTGGACAATCATTCAGTTGTGTAGTTTCAGCATTATAGAACAAAGGTCAAAGTTTCCTTACAGCCAGGTATGGGAAGAACATTCCAATGCAGAAATTGGTGGTCCAGTTGCAAAATCCAGCAAATGCAACAGCCGCTGGGCGAGGACCTTGACTGAATAACTCTGCAACAATGAACCAGGGAATCGGTCCTGGTCCAATTTCAAAAAAAGACACAAAGAGGAAGACGGAAACCAGGCTGACATAGCTCATCCATCCAATCTTGGGCTGAAAACAAAAGCAGATGGAACCATATCAACAACATCATCAGCTTTCAGTCACAGTAAACGGAACAACTTGGGTGGCCGTCATCTGTTTCTGTGTGGCTATCTGCAAACCTTATTTACATGGTCAAATATCATGGTTTCCTTAATTAATTGTTATTTTAGCCAGTGTGTGTTGGATTTTATGTCTGCAGACCATATTTATATCCCATATAAATGATTCGAGAAGGGAAGAAGTTGGAATAGTACCGTAATTCCATGCCAAAGGATAGAATTCTGGGAGTTGAAGTCCACAAGTCTTAAAGTTGCCAAGGTTGAGGACCTCTGACATAGCAGTCATTTTTACTTTATTCAATGAAAGACAGCAGGTATGCAAAGGGTGAAGACTCTGAAAGCCATAGCAGTGTCAGGTGCCATGGACAACATTGAAAGATCCTGGGGTCTATAATTCAACAACTTTTGTAGAAGATATCAAAGGATAGTAGCATTTAGCTGATCTTATCTGGACTTGGAAGATACCAAATGTCAGCATGGTTGGTATTTGGATTAGCAGCAACCTGGGAATCCCAGGGTTAAAGGTTAGATTTAGAGAACAAATTATAATCTGGAATAATGCAGTTGCAAACAATTCCATCTACTTTCCAAGAAAGCTTCGTGTTTGCATTCAAATTGTGTCACAATGGAACATACCAGTGTTTGTCAACCTTGGTAACTTTAGAACGTGTGGACTTCAACTCCCAGAATACTGGAAATGCTGGCAGTTGAAGTCCATCCCTTTTAAAGTTGCAAGGTTGAGAAACACTGCTATCCATCTTCTCTTAAGCTCTCAGAAGAGAGAGATACAGATATTACTTTTTCCTCTGTTGATAGTGAGTGTGGCACATTTGTCCAGTCCAAACTCCATTGCAATATCTTGGCTACGCTTATGGACAACAATGAATGCCAGTTCTATTGCCAATGGTATTTTTCCATAGAGCTTTTCCATATATACATATTTCAGTTTCCAACTGAAGAAACACAGTGATCCTCGACTCTCGTTGCATCAGCATCTGCAACTAGATGCTGACATTTGTGCTCGTACTTTGCTGCTCTCCTTTTTCTCACTTCCTCTTGATTTGGAGAAGGGATTCACATCCCACTTAAATTACTCTAGTGCAGGGTTAGGCAACCTTGGCTCTTTTGTGACTTGTGGACTTCAACTCCCAGAATTCCTGAGTCAGCATGGCTGGTTTAGGAATTCTGGGTATTGAAGTCCACAAGTCATAAAAGAGCCAAGGTTGCCTAACCCTGCTCTTGTGTATCACCAGTCACAATGATGCATTGTGTATATCAGTGGCTGAGAAACCCTAGGACAGAGGCTCTAATGGTGCAGGACAGAAGAGGGAAACTTCTGATGTTTCATCTCTACTATTAGATACATAAAATATTTACTGCTGGAACAATAAATTCTTTCTTCGGGACTGTCCACACTAATAACCTGCACTAATTTTTCTGTGGCTCTGTAAAGTTTTATTCCTTTTGATATAGGTAGATAATGTAAACTGTTTTTCTATTATTTCCTGCTTTTGTCTATTTATTATCCCATTTGACTAGTTAATTGTTTTCTTGTTTACTGATGTTTAATAAATATCAAGCTTTTCTTTCTAAGTGAATTGAGCAGAATATGTGCTTATTCTGATGCGGATGAAGGAATTGACTGGGAGTGTGCGATTTGCAAGTTAAGTTGTCAATGACCCACAATATGATTTACACTTAATAACAGTAGCTCACTTCCAAGTAGCAGTGACATTCTGCTAGAGAGATTAGATGTTCAAACATAGTTAATGTGGACAGAACTAATAACTAAACACTTGAGACAGATATCTTACCTGAAGCACAAGCCCAAGAGTCATTGTTATGGTACACACCATCATGCCTAACAGACCAGCCATAAAGAGGATCCGTCTCCCTGCTTTCTCCACCAGGAAAAGCTGAAAGTGTGGGGGGGGTTTTTTTGGGGGGGGAGGGATGAGGAAAGAGGGAAGAAGAAGAAGAAAGTTTTGTTGATTAAGCAGTCAACTTCAGTTTGGCAATGCAGCTAAGCTACGTTGTATCAAAGCTTCTTGCATACGGAATCCACTGGGTCCATCACAAAAACAGGCTTTGTACACAGACAGATCAACAGAGCTGAAAATCCTCTCCCTTATCAAATCATAGAGTTTTGGGGTAGCATTTTTAGAAGTTGTGTAAACAGATTGCAGTCTAGATTGTAGGCCAAGAGTCACTTTCTACATGAGTTGGATAGTTGTTTTCTGTTTTGTCACATATGTAGAGGTAGAGGATGGAAACAGACTTTGGAAAAGAAGAAAATCCTCAAAAAATGTGGGGAAAAATACTTACTGGTGTTTCCTTTAATCCATTTTCCATGGAGAGGACCTTTGCTGTTTATAGTATAGCCCCCATCTCTGGAATTCTCTAGCTCAGAGAATACTGTATTCTATTCCTTTAAACCAGTAAACATAAATGAGGGATTGATGTTGGCGTTTTATTTTATTTTTTTTATTTATTTTTAGTGCTCTGACAAATCTCTCTTGCTCTGAAGTTGGCTTGGATCTCTGATGAAGCAGAGCTTATGACTGTTTTCAAATTGAGCAAAATCACTTTTAGCAATTCGGTGGATTTTCTTTACTATCCCAATGATAACAGATGGTCTTTGAGTGGATCCTTGTGTTTTAAGAGCACAATACTGGCTCAGTATGTCCAAGATAGCAATCAGTCGTCAGGTTTTGTAATAATTGACAGCCCCCTTCTTTGTGAATGTGTCCAGTCCCCTTTTAAAAACAGCTGGTGGTTATAAATTCCATACTTTAAATCCTAATCTTTGGTGGGTTTTGTCTTGCAGAGAGATTGAAAAACAAAACTCTGTTGATGTAAATCAAGCATTACAACAATACCTTTGGTCACTGGGGTTCATATTCTAAGGAAATAAAACACAAAAGTCTTGTGGGGACTTTGTAATCCTATATCATCATATCTTGGCTGATATCCCGCCTATCGAATTGCTGGCCTAAGCACATTTTATTCTGTAGCAGCTCTTTTCTGCTACTTCAGCGATCAAAGTTCAAATAAATGGTTATGTCTACCTGTTAGTCGAGACCACCACCAGTCACTGATTTTTTTTTTTTATAAAGCTCAGATAATATCTAAAGGCTTGTAGAGAAGAATAAACACTGCCTGGAACCAGGAGAACATATTTACTACAGTTGTCAAAAGACAAAATTTTAAAACTGCTATTTAGAACCAAGATTAACAGAACACTAGGAAAACAGAAGAAAAAATAAAGTTTATTATTCAAACTTCGGGAAAATGTCCAAGGCAATTTTGATCACTATTTTTAAAAACCTAATGTTTCTTCTTCATTTTTATGGAATCCTAACTAGATTTCTTCAGATGCAAGTCCCATTCCTTTCTGTAATGCTAAATTCCTTAGGAAGAAGGTTTTTTTTTTAACTTTTGATAGTCTCACATTGTAACATTTCCAAGAAAGGTTGTTAAACCACAATCTAAAACCCCAAGAGTAGCTGCATAATTGTAGAATAGAATAGAACAGAACAACAGAACAGAACAAGAGCTGGAAGGGACTACGGAGGTTTTCTAGTCCAGCCCCCAAGCAGGACAACCTATACCAGGCGTGGGGAACCTTGGCTCAGGAATTCTGGGAGTTGAAGTCCACAAGTCATAAAAGAGCCAAGGTTCCCACCCCTGACCTATACCATTTCCCATGGATGAATATGTCATCAGCCTTGTTGACAATTTCTTGGCATTGAGGCAAGTCTAAAACTCTCCTAACAGTCTGGATGTTTAAAAGGAGACGAAAAAAGTGGAACACTGATAGCTTTTTTCCCCTTGCGTAAAATAAATTCACAAATTGTTAGCCGTTCTTGGACCGACATAGGCAGCTTGAACAATAGTGGAAGGGAGGGGGGAAACTCACAAGTCCAATCCAAACTTGTGAGCTTCCCACATGCACCCAGATGGCCACTGCGTGATGCAGAATGCTGGACAAAAAGGATTTAGGGCAGTGTTTCTCAACCTTGGCAACTTGAAGATGTGTGGACCACAACTCCCAGAATTCCCCAGTCAGTGGGAGTTAAGGTTCACACATCTTCAAGTGGCCAAGGTTGAGAAACACGGATGCAGGACCTTAACCCATGGGGCTCATCTTAGGATAAAAGGCTTTGTCGAGCTTTTATAACTCCACCCATTGGCAGAACATGGCATTATCAATTCTACAAAAAATACAGGTAGTCCTCCTCTTACGACCACAATTGAGCCCAATATTTCTGTTGCTAAGTGAGACAGTTTTGCCCCATTTTACAACCTTTCTTGCCACAGTTAAGTGGATCACTGCAATTGTTAGTAACATGGTTGTTAAGTGAATCTGGCTTCCCCATTGACTTTGCTTGACGGAAGATCACAAAAGGTGATCNGTGGCCTTACCAAGGCATTGTAAAGTGGTATTAACACTTCACGTGATCTTGATTCTATCCCTCTGTTAATGCAGCCTAGCACTGTGTTGGCCTTTTTGGCAGCTGCAGCACACTGCTGGCTCATATTTAGGTGATTGTCCACTAGGACTCCGAGGTCCCTCTCACAGTTACTACTATTGAACAAGGTGCCACCTATGCTATACTTGTGCATTTGGTTTTTCTTGCCTAAATGTAGAACCTTGCTTTTTTCACCATTGAATTTCATCTTCTCTTAAGCTCTCAGAAGAGAAAGATACAGATATTACTTTTTCCTCTGTTGATAGTGAGTGTGGCACATTTGTCCAGTCCAAACTCCATTGCAATACCTTGGCTACACTTACGGACAACAATGAGCGTCAGTTCTATTGCCAATGGTATTTTTCCATAGAGCTTTTCCATATATACATATTTCAGTTTCCAACTGAAGAAACACAGTGATCCTCAGCTCTCGTTGCATCAGCACCTGCAACTAGATGCTGACATTTGTGCTCGTACTTTGCTGCTCTCCTCTTTCTCACTTCCTCTTGATTTGGAGAAGGGATTCACATCCCACTTAAATTACTCTAGTGCAGGGTTAGGCAACCTTGGCTCTTTTGTGACTTGTGGACTTCAACTCCCAGAATTCCTGAGTCAGCATGGCTGGTTTAGGAATTCTGGGTATTGAAGTCCACAAGTCATAAAAGAGCCAAGGTTGCCTAACCCTGCTCTTGTGTATCACCAGTCACAATGATGCATTGTGTATATCAGTAGCAGAGAAACCCTAGGACAGAGGCTCTAATGGTGCAGGACAGAAGAGGGAAACTTCTGATGTTTCATCTCTACTATTAGATACATAAAATATTTACTGCTGGAACAATAAATTCTTTCTTCGGGACTGTCCACACTAATAACCTGCACTAATTTTTCTGTGGCTCTGCAAAGTTTTATCCCTTTTGATATAGGTAGATAATGTAAACTGTTTTTCTATTATTTCCTGCTTTTGTCTATTTATTATCCCATTTGACTAGTTAATTGTTTTCTTGTTTACTGATGTTTAATAAATATCAAGCTTTTCTTTCTAAGTGAATTGAGCAGAATATGTGCTTATTCTGATGCGGATGAAGGAATTGACTGGGAGTGTGCGATTTGCAAGTTAAGTTGTCAATGACCCACAATATGATTTACACTTAATAACAGTAGCTCACTTCCAACTAGCAGTGACATTCTGCTAGAGAGATTAGATGTTCAAACATAGTTAATATGGACAGAACTAATAACTAAACACTTGAGACAGATATCTTACCTGAAGCACAAGCCCAAGAGTCATTGTTATAGTACACACCATCATGCCTAACAGACCAGCCATAAAGAGGATCCGTCTCCCTGCTTTCTCCACCAGGAAAAGCTGAAAATGTGGGGGTTTTTTTGGGGGGGGGAGGGATGAGGAAAGAGGGAAGAAGAAGAAAGTTTTGTTGATTAAGCAGTCAACTTCAGTTTGGCAATGCAGCTAAGCTACGTTGTATCAAAGCTTCTTGCATACGGAATCCACTGGGTCCATCACAAAAACAGGCTTTGTACACAGACAGATCAACAGAGCTGAAAATCCTCTCCCTTATCAAATCATAGAGCTTTGGGGTAGCATTTTTAGAAGTTGTGTAAACAGATTGCAGTCTAGATTGTAGGCCAAGAGTCACTTTCTACATGAGTTGGATAGTTGTTTTCTGTTTTGTCACATATGTAGAGGTAGAGGATGGAAACAGACTTTGGAAAAGAAGAAAATCCTCAAAAAATGTGGGGAAAAATACTTACTGGTGTTTCCTTTAATCCATTTTCCATGGAGAGGACCTTTGCTGTTACAGTATAGCCCCCATCTCTGGAATTCTCTAGCTCAGAGAATACTGTATTCTATTCCTTTAAACCAGTAAACATAAATGAGGGATTGATGTTGGCGTTTTATTTTATTTTTTTTATTTATTTTTAGTGCTCTGACAAATCTCTCTTGCTCTGAAGTTGGCTTGGATCTCTGATGAAGCAGAGCTTATGACTGTTTTCAAATTGAGCAAAATCACTTTTAGCAATTCGGTGGATTTTCTTTACTATCCCAATGATAACAGATGGTCTTTCAGTGGATCCTTGTGTTTTAAGAGCACAATACTGGCTCAGTATGTCCAAGATAGCAATCAGTCGTCAGGTTTTGTAATAATTGACAGCCCCCTTCTTTGTGAATGTGTCCAGTCCCCTTTTAAAAACAGCTGGTGGTTATAAATTCCATACTTTAAATCCTAATCTTTGGTGGGTTTTGTCTTGCAGAGAGATTGAAAAACAAAACTCTGTTGATGTAAATCAAGCATTACAACAATACCTTTGGTCACTGGGGTTCATATTCTAAGGAAATAAAACACAAAAGTCTTGTGGGGACTTTGTAATCCTATATCATCATCTCTTGGCTGATATCCCGCCTATCGAATTGCTGGCCTAAGCACATTTTATTCTGTAGCAGCTCTTTTCTGCTACTTCAGCGATCAAAGTTCAAATAAATGGTTATGTCTACCTGTTAGTCTGGACCACCACCAGTCACTGATTTTTTTTTTTTATAAAGCTCAGATAATATCTAAAGGCTTGTAGAGAAGAATAAACACTGCCTGGAACCAGGAGAACATATTTACTACAGTTGTCAAAAGACAAAATTTTAAAACTGCTATTTAGAACCAAGATTAATAGAACACTAGGAAAACAGAAGAAAAAATAAAGTTTATTATTCAAACTTTGGGAAAATGTCCAAGGCAATCTTGATCACTATTTTTAAAAACCTAATGTTTCTTCTTCATTTTCATGGAATCCTAACTAGATTTCTTCAGATGCAAGTCCCATTCCTTTCTGTAATGCTAAATTCCTTAGGAAGAAGGTTTTTTTTTTTAACTTTTGATAGTCTCACATTGTAACATTTCCAAGAAAGGTTGTTAAACCACAATCTAAAACCCCAAGAGTAGCTGCATAATTGTAGAATAGAATAGAACGGAACAACAGAACAGAACAAGAGCTGGAAGGGACTACGGAGGTTTTCTAGTCCAGCCCCCAAGCAGGACAACCTATACCAGGCGTGGGGAACCTTGGCTCAGGAATTCTGGGAGTTGAAGTCCACAAGTCATAAAAGAGCCAAGGTTCCCACCCCTGACCTATACCATTTCCCATGGATGAATATGTCATCAGCCTTGTTGACAATTTCTTGGCATTGAGGCAAGTCTAAAACTCTCCTAACAGTCTGGACGTTTAAAAGGAGACGAAAAAAGTGAAACACTGATAGCTTTTTTTCCCTTGCGTAAAATAAATTCACAAATTGTTAGCCGTTCTTGGACCGACATAGGCAGCTTGAACAATAGTGGAAGGGGGGGAAAACTCACAAGTCCAGTCCAAACTTGTGAGCTTCCCACATGCACCCAGATGGCCACTGCGTGATGCAGAATGCTGGACAAAAAGGATTTAGGGCAGTGTTTCTCAACCTTGGCAACTTGAAGATGTGTGGACCACAACTCCCAGAATTCCCCAGTCAGTGGGAGTTAAGGTTCACACATCTTCAAGTGGCCAAGGTTGAGAAACACGGATGCAGGACCTTAACCCATGGGGCTCATCTTAGGATAAAAGGCTTTGTCGAGCTTTTATAACTCCACCCATTGGCAGAACATGGCATTATCAATTGTACAAAAAATACAGGTAGTCCTCCTCTTACGACCACAATTGAGCCCAATATTTCTGTTGCTAAGTGAGACAGTTTTGCCCCATTTTACAACCTTTCTTGCCACAGTTAAGTGGATCACTGCAATTGTTAGTAACATGGTTGTTAAGTGAATCTGGCTTCCCCATTGACTTTGCTTGACGGAAGATCACAAAAGGTGATCACATGACCCCGGGACACTGCAACAGTCATAAATATGAGTCAATTGCCAAGCATCTGAATTTTGATCATGTGACCATGGGGATGCTGCAATGGTCATAAGTATGAAAAACAGTCATTAGTCACTTTTTCCAATGCCATTCTAACTTTGAACAAAATGAACTGTCGTAAGTTAAGGACTACCTGTATTCAATTACTATGGTTGGGCAAAATAACACTTCGGCCACCAGTTTGGACCCACATCAATTGTTACATGTAAATTGTGCTTTCTTTTTAAAGTTACTACGGCACTAAAAAAAAGAGCCGTGATGGTGCAATGGTTAGAATGCAATATTTCAAGCTAATTCCACCGACTGCCTGCAGTTTAATCCTGACCAGCTCAAGGTTGACTCAGCCATCCATCCTTTCAAGGTTGATAAAATGAGGACCCAGATTTTTTGGGAAAATATGCCGACTCTGTAAACCACTTAGAGAGGGCTGTAAAGCACTATGGTGCGATATATAAGTCTAAGTGCTATTACTACTTACAGCAACAACAGTGAACACCGTGTTCACAAAGCCGACTCCTATGGTTGCATAAACAGGCTTCTTGACATTTGCTTTGTTAAAAATATCGGTAGAGTAGTAGAAAATCTAACAAGGGAGACAAAAATAATCTGTTAGAAGTAGTGAAATCCTTTCACCACACTGTGTATGTAAGCTTGTCTCTGTCTTAAATGAAATTTCAGGATGCCGATGGCACAAATTAACCAGCAGCTGCATTTATAATAACAGGTATATTTCCCAGAATATTTTAGCAATCCTACTGATATGTTGGACCTGACTTCAACCAATTCCCCAATGCTTATGGTTTAATTATCAATTGTGAAATCTATTATTGGATTGAGCACTGATGATGTTATGGAGTCAGGTAATGAAATGTCTGCAATCACACAACTAAGCTCAGAGAGCATTAAGTATTTCACACTTCAACTCCGAACTACAGATATTCATTTCTATTATGGCATTGTCTAGAAGTCCCACCTAGCTGAATAACCCTCCCAGATAGGTGTGTATAAGTGACATAAGTAAACGTATTTAGTATTAATACCCATTGGCAAAAAACTTACAGCATTAATTCCAGAAAACTGTTGAGCAATGTGAACTCCTATGGCCACTATGAACGGCTGGCGGTAGGTCGCAGTTGTAGCCAGCTGCCAAATGGAGACAGATTTTTCTTTTGACAATTCTTCTTTCTCTTTCTCCATTTCCTCAATTTCTTTGGTGGAATCATAGTTTTGTCCCCTCAGTTTTAGTAAATCTAGAAAGGAAAAGTTAAGTCTTTCTTTATGAAAAAGAGCTCTAAGTAGTCCTCGTTTAATGACATTTGGGACTAGCAACTTGGTTTAAAGCAAAGCAATTACTAAGTGAAAAATTATCAGGTGAGCCCAAACTGTGGGGAAACACAACTCGCAAGAAAGCCAAGTAAAAGGGTAAACCTTATAGCTCTTCATCCTGAACTGTGATTGTTTTTGTTTACATTCATAGGAGAAGAAGGCATTATAAGAGAGCAGTGATTTTAGGACAGAGGTTTTCAAACTTGGCCCTTTTATGACTTGTGGACTTCAACTCCCAGAATTCTTCAGCCAGGCATGCTAGCTGAGGACTTCTGGGAGTTGAAGTCCACAAGTCATAAAAGGGTCAAGTTTGAAAACCCCTGTTTTAGGAGCTTAGAAGGCAAACAAAAGCCTCTGGTGTGAAACTAATTGTCAATTTCAGGCAGCATCTGAAACCAGCCAGATGGTTCTAATTAACTAATTAAAATCAAAGAGCTAAGTTTGTTAATTTGACCTTAGCAGTTTTTAGGGTTGGACTTTGCCGCAAAGAAAAGCACTTCAGGAAGAGGCAGCCTTTTTAAGCAATCTCTCCATTGTGTGAGGGGGCAAAAAAAGAAAAGAAAAAGAAAAACAGGTCAGGCACAGGACAATGCCATATCATACTAACTGCAATAGCAAATACCTGATGAGAGAGATGTTGCAAAGGTTTTAAGTGTTGGCATTGGATGCAAAGCTGATTTTTTTCATCACCATTGTAACTGCAAACAGTTGCTATCTGAAGACAGTTAGTTACTAAACAAGGATTACCTGTAGCTCATGTATTTTTAATGGGGCATGAGAAGCATGGCTTCTCCCTATGGAAATTCTCTGAGCAAATGTGTCATGTTATACAAGCCCATATATAACTGTAGATTCAAAAAAGAAGGACTTTAGCTTCTACCTTCTGCCTGGAAAGAGAAGATCTTCAACTAATCTATATACTGAACATATAAATATCAATTTGAAGCAAGATCAGCCTATAATTGCTTCCATTTAATATTTTCTGGATGATTTTTTATTAAATATGGGTTTGGCAGAAAGAACTCAATGCCTGAGGATAAGGTGTGCATACAGAAGGCCCTGGATTTAGTTCCTGGCGCTTCAAAATAAAGACTCAAGTAAAACTCTTAGGAAAAACAGCCTTGTCCCTAAGAAGAATGAGATGGCCATCAGAAAGAGTTGATTTGTGATTATAAGAGCAGTGACTCCAAAACGATTATTTTGGAGGAACAAAAGGTGGCCAAGAACATTGAAAGGGACCAAAGATTTCCCCATGCATTAAATACTCCAGAGATTAGGTCATGGATTTTTGAGTGTGTAGTGCAGGGGTGTCAAACTTGCAACGTCACATGATGTGTTGTGACGTATCGTGACTTTTTTGCCATTGCCAGCAATGGGGTGGGCGCAGTTTCACTATGATGCATCCAGCCCACGGGCTGGCAGTTTGACACCCCTGGTGTAGTGCAGTGATGGCGAACCTTTTAGATACCGAGTGCCCAAAACCCGGCCTCGTCCCCACCTCCCCGCCCCTGCCAACTCCGCCCCTGCCCTGCCTGCTCCACCCCTGTTCCGCGCTCTGCCCACCCACAGGGTCACCCACTGCCTCCATGGTCCGCCGCAGCAGATTGCCCAGGCAGCCCAGCAGCACCTTGGCGGCCACACCCTCTTCCCATGCCCCGCAGCATCATCTGCACATGACGGCGTGAGGGCGGAGTCTTGTCCCCACTGCCCGGCTGCCATGTTCTTGGCTGCGCTGCTCTGTGCAGGCTGCGCTCAGGGCAACTCTCCTCCAGGGGGGCTGCTGGTGAGGAGGGGCCGTGGGGGGAGGCAGGGCTGAGGCGACGGTGCATGTGCCCACAGAGAGGGTTCTGAGTGCCACCTCTGGCATGCGTGCCATAGGTTCACCACCACTGGTGTAGTGTATTGCTTTATTAAGAACCAAAGTGAGACTAAAACACTTTTTTTGGGAAGAGTTTTTTCCCTTTGGAATCATCCTTGAAGGAAAAGAACAACTTTTTCTTTTTCCTCTTCTCCGTTTGCTAGGGAATCATTTTTTTCAGATAACAATATTATCTGAGTGGTTCCTGTTTGGTTTGATAGGAGAAGCAGAGTCTGATATTCTGTTGCAGGTAGGGGCCACTCTAGAGAATTGCCACTAGCCAGAGAAGACTAGATCTCTCTTAACTTTCTATGTTCCTAATTGCGGAAGGTTCCTGAAATTTCACATTGATTTTTTCCCCTTTTCCTTTCTATTTACTCTCACTCGCAATGTGCCAGCTTTGACCTTAGCCTGGAGCATTGCCAGAATACTGCCTCCTTCCTTGACTATCTTGAATCTTGAAATACAACAACTCACTGCAGCCAACTCGCCACAGCTAACTTGCCGTGGGACAACTTACTACAGGACAATTCAACAAATACAAAAGTTAATTTCAATGGAACTGTGGCAATAATTATAAAATGAAGGAAGTCAAGAGTTACAATAATTTTGATGAAAACGTGATCACCAAGATAAAAATAACCGAATGAAACAATGCAGAGCTGAATTGTTCCGCAGCCAGTTGTTCCATGGCGAGTTGGCTGCAGCGAGATGTTCTAGACCCCTTGAATCTAGCCCAAGTGATCCACATATACTACTACCCCCGCCCAACTTAGGTTCCACTTCTTGTAGGAAGCCATGATCCCCATTTTCCAACATGATTTTCAGGCAATCGGAAGAAGTCTCCTTACTTTTTTGGGCTCCTTCAACATCTCCACATTTTATGTACATGTATCTAGGACTTTCTGGACAAATTAGGAGCAGAAAAATCTGTAAGACAGCAGCAGCACCTGACAGGGACAGAAGTAATGGCCAACATTTCTGCGTGCCCAACAAAATATCCAATCCAAGAACCTGGAGAAAATATAGAATAATATAAATTAATTTAAATGAAAACCTTGTCAAGTCATGATTCTTGGCATTAACAAGGAAGAGTATGTGAAGTGGTGACATCAATAAAACTTTCCTAAGGACACTTCTTACGGTTCATTTCAGTCTGAGTGGAAACCAGATGCCAATCTTTTTCTTCTGATGTCAGCAATACAAGAGCTAGTGTGGTACAGTAGTTGAGGTATTTGACTGAGGTTGGGGTTCAAATTCGCAGCAGTCATGGAAACTGGGTGATTTTGTGCTGGATATTATCTCTCAGTCTCACATACCTCACATTGTTATCATGGAGAAAAATGAACAAAAGAATATGTCTTCTTGAGCTTCAGCATATAAATCTAGATGATGGTCTCAATTATTAAAAAAAATGTCTTTATGATGTCACTTTTGTTTTAAAGGCAAACACAAATGCTGCCCAGAGTTACTGGAATTTAGGCGGCATACAAGTTTGTTAAATAAATAAATGAATACATTCTTCACTCGAGGATATGCTATTATAATTATCTATTCATTTGCGTGTTTGTTGTATTTACAAATTGCCTCAATCCTACTGGACTCCAGTAGCTTACAGCATATATTTTCAATGTCTAGAGCAGTGTTTCTCAACCTTGACCATTATAAGATGGGTGAAGAAGTCTGGGGAATTCTAAGAGTTGAGGTCCACCCATCTTAAAATGACCAAAACTGAGAAACACTCTTCTACAGCAAAAGCAAACAATCTTCTTTCTATACAAGAAAGAAGTCTTTCAGAAGTATGTATCAGGCACTGCGTTCAGGAGTCTAAAGCACGTGAGGGGGTAGGACCACAACCAAAAGTGGCTGATGGAATCATTTTGACACAGTTTTGGTTCCTCTCTAAGACCCACTTTTCTGTATGTTGTCCTTTTTCATTTTGAGATTTGCTGTTCTTTGTCTACATCAAGAAGCAAAGGAGTAGTGTTTTGTAATGAGGCCAAAGGCTGCAATTTGTCCATGTTCATACTAGTTGTCCTCATGGCCTACTTTACACCAATCCTAATTAACTTAATATGCTCTGCTGGTTTATCTTTAGGGAATTGAACTAGAGACTGACTTCCTTGAATTGAACTCAAGTCTTTGTAACTTCATGGACATGGACAGATTTATGCCATGTTTTTGGACTTTTCTATTTCCCAGGCCACACTTTTACTCTGTGTTTTCTGATGGGCTCCTATTAAAATACTAATAAGACCTAACACTGCTTAGCTTTTAAGTCCAGCCAGATCCATTTAGTCATCTCCTGCTTCAGGCAGCATATACATAGATACATATGTACATGTGTACATGGTACATATTGGGTATTTACAGGTAAACAGACACACAGATAGGATGACACATAGACAGATGCTTTCAATCATTGTGCAATTGCACTGACATAACTGATTCACACAGACCAGCTTTGGCCATACTGCTCCAAATTGAGGGGCAGTTTGAAGACTCAAAGAGCACCAAGGACCCTAATTTTGGAGACTGTTCAGGAAGTCCCTCTATTTTCCTAAGATGCATACAGATGGAGAAATATTATCTATTGTTTAACTTTATCACATGCAACTGGTACCAATTCTTCTGATGACTTGCTGATTGCTGGGTATATTTAAATAGTTATTGTGATAATTAAAACAATATAAAGTATTAGCATTGTCAATAGGCACAGTTGTGAGTGTTTGCTGTTTGCTTTCAGATATTAAAAATGTATTAAAAACTTGGAATCTTGATGTATAAATATGCATAATAAATAAATGCATGCAATAACAAGATCAAGAAACTAGGAATTCATTTTTAACTAAAGTACAGATGAAAAGTCATGACAGCACAACTTAGCTACATGATCACCGAGTCCTCTGAGCAGTCTTACCTACCTGGCTGATGAGAATACCTATAACAACAGCCAGCTGATTCAGTGTGCCCAGAGCCCCACGGAGAGCAGTTGGAGCTATTTCTCCAACATACAATGGAGCAAGTCCAGATGAGAGTCCTGGGCAAATACAAACAAACAAGGGCACCAACTGTAGCATCTTAATCATCAGAACAATCATTTTCTCAGCTATCCTTAAAAACTCCTTTACGTTATGAAGGAAGACCATATTCCAAAAATAATAAATAAATAAACAATATAAACATAAAAACTGAGGACTTCTTTTCCCTTTCAACAATTTTGAGGCACAATACTCCTTTAACTCAAGCGTGGCTCTTGGTGACTTCATGGGGTTTCTTGGTAGCAGCATATAGCTCCTTCTACTCAGAACATGGCACTGATGTGGGAAAGAAAGTGGTGTCAGATACGGGTCAAATCTGGAACACTTTCAAATTTTTCTTTATTTATTTGCTATTTCTTGATTGCATATGCCTCTATTACTCCTTACTATTGTTACATTGGTTCTAGCTTTCCTAAGTCCTTGTATCTTCCAACACTGAATCTCTAGATGCATTTGAGCTGTTCTACTCATCTAGAACCATGCTAGAAGATGATATGTTGCCTATCCCTCTTCTACAGCTTTGGCATGATGGTCTGGTTTTATCTGCCCATATAACTGTATTGAATGCAAACATTGATTGTAAGGTCCCCTCAGCAAATGGTTATTAGATTTCCACCAGACAATGTAGTCAGTTTCTGTTGTAATTCTCTCAACCAGTGACAGCTTTGGCAGTTGCTTGAGATTGCTGGCTCTGGACCCTACTTCTCTGTCACCTCCTTATACTCAGATTTTTCTTTCTTGTTAAGTTCATGCTAATTTCAGAAGCCAGATGATTGAGTGCATGTTTCCCCAAGAGATGATCCCTGGTTCAATCCCCAGAATAATCGGGAAAAGCCTCAACCCTAGAGAATCACTGCTCCCAGCCAGTGTTGATAATGCAGCCATGTTCCTTTTTCACTTGCAAATAATCACTGAAGCGTCAAGGAAAATCGGAGAAGAAAAGCTCCATTGTCAAACCTGACTCACTCCATAGCTGCCTGCTTTCACTTGCAACTTCATCATGGCGGTAAATTTCTAAGGGTGGAGGAAGGCTATGGAATGCAAGTGAACCATCTGTTGCCGGGGAAACGTTATCTAACAAGGCCGAGTGATGAAGAATGTTTTCGCTGAAGCATTCAGTTTTTCCCAAAGTAAAAGAACTGAACTCAACTGGTGAACTATGAACTGTGGGTGGCCTGGAGGGGAAAAGGGAATTACCTATGTGGGTTTTTTCAGGAAAAATCCCAGAGTTGACTTTGCTTCTGCTGTGCCTAGATGGATTTTTCAATAAAGCTACACTCTTGGTTCATCTAAGGAGCCGGGAGTTTCTTTTGTTGAATGTTCCAAATGGGACGGTTGACATCTATTGAGAATCAACTTTTAACTTACCACCATGCAAGCCTGTCAAGACTCTTCCAATAATTACCAGGATGTGGGAAGGGCCATTTTTTGCCACTACAAAAAATATGTTCCCAGAGACTGCAAAAATATTCACCAGTAGCATGGCTCTCACTCTAGAATAACAGGAAGAGGTATATTAAACAAGGTTTAATATCCAAAATGATTTGATCTTTAGTTTAGTATCCAAAGTGACTTGATCTACTGGTGTCCAAATAGCAAAAGCATCTCCATAGTAAATAAAAAGCTGAACATTGGTGGGCAGGCAGCCTATTTTTATCAAACCTTCTCAAAACTCAGGGCTTTTTTCATAATCGCAGCTACCACTAACCTGAGTCTCCTTTGAAGACACTGGCTAACCTTGGTTAAAATTGTAGTACTTCTGTATTAACTACATCTAAGGATGTTGCTGCTGTAATTTATAGGCAGGATTTACACCTTGCCTTTCATCAGGGGTTCTTAACTGAATTGGCTAGGTTCATATATTGCACAAAACCAAAATATATACAGATAGTCCCTGACTTACAACCATAATGAAGCCTGCCCATCACCACTGTCAGTTGTGACAGCTGTAAAATGGCTTGGTCAATATATAATTTGGATTTTACGATGTGTTTTGTGGGGGTTGTTAAGTGAATGGCATGGTTGTTAAGTGAACCATGGGTGCAGTTTTGCCAAAAACCAGAAGTAAATGCTGTTTTTTGGCAAAAATGTCATAAAACATGGTCATGTGACCACAGGACACTGCTAATGACTATTAGTGTAGCTGTGTTGCTGAACACCTAAAGTTTGGTCATGTGACCATGGGAGTGGTAAGGAGCGACCATCAGAACTTTGAATCTGGGTCATAAGTAGCCCCAAGGTAGAATTCATTGTAACTTTGAACAGTCACTAAGTCACTAGTCATAAATTGAGGACTAGCTGTAGCTTGGTAATCATACAATCCCTAAACAGGCTTACAAAACACAGAAGGATTTTCCCGTGCTCTGTTACTTATCAATGGTGATTGCTGCCAGAAAATAAAACATGGATGGACAGTTTGCTATTATGCCTCTCAGAAGAAGTGTCATCAAGTGGCTTTGTAGCTCAGCTGCATTGTATTTTGTAGCAGCCATCCTGTGTAAATATACCCCTATTCTCTTCAGTCCCTTAATCATGGTTGGCTCCTATTAGATTTGCACAGCCCAGATAAAGGATAGCCTGTATCAGTGCTTTGATTATTCTAATAAAGGTGAAGAGCAGACACCCTTCAGCCTGCCATCATTCAAACTTCACTTCTCTGCCTAATAAATTCCCAGAGGTACCAGTATAGGCTTTTTGCTCTGCCATCCTCTTTTCTCATTATAGCTGCTATTCTTTTCATCTTATCCAGTGTGGCACTTACATTGTTTTATTATTTTATTTCCAAACTCTGCAATTTTGGGAGGCTTACACTACACAGGACTAAAAAAAAATCTGTTTGAAAAATCAAACGTGGAAACCTGTTCCTGTTCTAATTGAAACTCTTCCTATTCTAATGTCCCAAAGAACGTCTTTATCACTTTCCTGAAAAATGTTAGGGTGACTGCAGGAGATATGCTGTTGTCAAAAGAGGGGGCTGTCACTGAGAAAAATTATTTCTAAAATAATAAAAATGGATCTACAATCAAAGATTAAAAATTATAGCTAAAAGATGGGGAGGGTGGGAGCAGGATGTGTGTGTGGGGGAGGTGGGATTACCTCTTAACTCATCAACCATCTCCAATGTGATGCTCCTCCATTGGGGCCTCTGGTCAACTGGCAGACCCATGTCTTTAGGCCCTTACAAAAGGTCAGAAGGGTGGGAGTCAATCTCACCTCAGGGGCTAAGATGTTCCAACTGAAATTCCTTGACTGATGGGGCCCACAGCATGCCTCCTGTGCTGGCATGGGTGGGGTGGGCCAGTCCCATTGGGGGTGAGACAACTACTTTCCCTGTATTCAGGAAATCAGCAGTATGATAGACTAAGAATTTTGGAGTTCAGTACTGTTGTTAAAGATGGAACTCAACAATGTAGAAGAACTTTGTTGAATCAAAGTAAATTTCCATCTAGTTCATTATTGTAATTTTACCAGTGATCAAGCAGACATTTTGAGAAACTGACAAACAAAACATGAAGATAAATGACTTCTCTGTTCTTTGTTTTCAGGATAATTATTGAGATATATTATCTCAGTAAGCTGCTTCATTGTTAAAATCAACCAAGCTAGCAGCCATTAACCTTTTATGGAAATGATATACGGATGGAGATATTCTTTGAATCCAAACGCTACATGTCCAGTCCTTTGCATGTCCAGGATGTCTGTAGAAGACCCTTAGCTTGAAATCCTAGAACAAGCCTATCCTGCTTGAACTTATTGGACCGAAGTCACCGGAAATAAATAGTTCCATAAATATCCACACCCTGAACAATATAGAGTTTTAAAGGTGACAACCTGAATTGCATCCAGAAGCTGACTGGTAGCCAGTGCAGCCCTTGAAGAAAAGACATTATGTTATGTTGCAGTGCCTGTCTTATGAAACAGTATAACTCCCGAAGTTTTTGATTATTTATTATCTTAAAGGATTGTTTGATACTCAGAATCATATGGCCAGTGGTTGGCCATATAAATGTAAGGATGGATAGACAGACAGACGGACGGACGGACGGACGGACGGACAGACAGACAGACAGACAGACAGACAGACAGACAGACAGACAGACAGACAGATAGATAGATAGATAGATAGATAGAAGACTGATAGATGACAGATAGATGACAGATAGATGATAGAGATAGATAGATAGATAGATAGATAGATAGATAGATAGATAGATAGATAGATAGATAGATAGATAGATAGATAGATAGATAGATAGATAGATAGATAGATATTTCTGCAATGTGTCAGTGGTAGTCGGGACCTAATAAGAATGGTTTTCATTATCTCCTGAGTTACACAGAATGCCTGCTTTGTTTTTCTACCAAGACATTAAATTCAAGAAGGAAAAATAATCCTCACCGTGGCATCTTTTCCCCAATCCAACCAACGGTGAAGGAGGAAATCATCCCACCAACAGCAAACATAGAGACAGACAAGGACCAAAGCATCATGATCGTTGGATCTTTCAATACTTCTTCAATTAAAAAACTGCCAGTGCTATTTTTAGCACTTTCTATTTTCAGGATCTTTGCGTAGTGGGTCATTATGATCTGTGTTGACAAAATGCATTAATCATTTCATTACTCCTAAAAACTAAGATTATTTTTGACTGTGCATGTTTCACAACCTGAATTTGCCCATCACCTTCTTCAGGATGAGAAGTGAAACAAAGAAAAAAAAAAAAAGAAAGTCCAGTTACCTTTTGAAAAAGCATTTTTGGGTCTGGATTTTTAACAACTAAGAATGCCTGTTACTATATATGTCCCAAATTTGCATTTAGTCTCTTTGAAACCTAAATGTTTGGGTTGAAGGTTTAAACTGTGAATGTTTAACTGAATTTTAAGGTCTCCTGCCATGAGGAAGGGGGTTGGACTAGAAGACCTCCAAGGTCCCTTCCAATCCTATGAGTCTATTCTCTTCTATGCTGCCCAGAGTCATTGTGTGAGAGTTGAGCAGTGGTATAAATGTGTGTAATAAATAAATAAATTTTAATAATACATACTTAAAATTGGTGTTTAGAAATTAGCAATTGAGGATCACAACTAGTACAAGAAATATATCTGAGTGTTATCTATCTCAATAGCTTTTTTTCCAGATCCCAAAGGTGCTTTTTCATGAGGCAACTGGACTTTCTTGGGGTTTTTTTTCTTGAAGAAAAATGGTGGGGAGCCAAAGAAGCTTCTTGGATGAGAAGCGAAACGTCTTCAGAGAAAAAACAAGAAAGTCCAGTTGCTTTATGAATAAAGCACCTTTGGGATAACTACGACCCGGATGACTGAGGATATCCATAGACATTTTTTCCCAGATATCTCAACATATGGCGCTAATCTATTCTGGAAAAGGGGCTTTGTGTTACATGCAGAACAATGCAAGTTTTGTACTAATTGGGAGTAAATGAACTGTTTTAAGTCGAGGACTACCAGTATTGGCTTGGATCTAATGTAATACAAATCAACACTTAGGACTGCATCCTAAATGCCCCATTTATTACCCCACTCTCTGCTGAAATTGGTCCCCGGATTGTTACATTTTGGGTGTGTATGAAAAATAGCTGAGAATACACCTAACATGTAGGAAGAGATTGGCAGCACTTGAATGCATTTTGTCCTTTTATTTTTCTCAAGCAAGTCAGCGCCAAATGGTGGTGCATGGTGTAGCTTGCTCAAATCATCCTGGGTTAAAACTAAATGTAACAGTTAGGGCAGATGAAATGATGCTGAATTGACTCTGGGAGATTCATTCACTTTCACACCACAAAGAAGAAAGTGGGGTAATAAATGGGGCACTTAGGATGCAGTCCTAAGTGTTGAGTTGTATTACATTAGATCCAAGCCAATACTGGTAGTCCTCGACTTAAAACAGTTCATTTAGTGACCTTTCAATGTTACAACGGCACTGAAAATGCAACTTATGATTGTTTTTCACACTGATGACCATTGCAGCATCCCTAGGATCACATGATCAAAATTCAGATGCTTGGCAACTGAATCATATTTATGATTATGTGATCACCTTTTGCGACCTTCTGACAAGCAAAGTCCATGAGGAAGCCAGATTCACTTAACAACCAGGTTACTTATTTAAAAACTGCAGTGATTCACTTAACAACTGCATCAAGAAAGGTCGTAAAATGGGGTAAAACTCACTTAACTGTTTTACTTAGCAATGGAAATTTTGGGCTCAATTGTGGTCGTAAATCGAGAACTACCTGTAGTAGGGTTCATACATTTTATATTGCTTTGCCTAACGTTGTAGGTGGAAGAGACCCAACCTGGCATCTCTTTTCTGAAGATATCAAAATAGTTAAGATGTCCCAAGATGAAAGAAGTGAGCCCCAAATATGGGCTCTGATATTAATGCATATGTAAATAATCAAATTGACTTGCCTGTTGAGGAGCATTGATGACCCCAATGCAGTAGCCATATTGGAAAAAACCCAACACTGCAGTAAACACGGAGAGAAACAAAGTGCATGTGACATCCTAGGAAAAAGCAACAAATGAGAGCACAAGGTCACACGGGTCTATTTCCATTACAGCGACCGAAGAAGAAATCAGGTGCACATTTCAACCCTTTGCTTGGAATCCTTTGAAAAGCTACCAAAGTTGGTTTGAATGATGCCTCCGAAGATTGGCAGAATTCAGAACACTGTCAATATTTCCCTTGATTTTGAAGGAATGAAAACAAAGAAGATGCAGTTGCCTTTTGAAAAGCACCTTTTCATGATCTGGATGATTGAGAATCTCCATAGATTCAAAACTTCAAAAATAAATATAAATAAATAAGGCATGGCAATTATTTCAATCTGGAATATTGCCATGATTGTATTAAATATGCAGAATATATGGAGGCAATCAAATCCAAATCACTGCTTGCTCCAAGTTGAGCATCACATTGGTGGTGACTTTCTTGAAGGGGTGGGTAGGGGTATTATTTTAACTTGCAGGAATTTGTTCTAGATTCCAGTATGACATTCCAACCGAGGATAATCCAAAGGCTATCACAATGCAGATTCATTAAAACCAGATTTTGCTGCTGGATTCACAACGAAATAATAGTGTGACTGCCTACGTATCCAACCTGGGAACCTTACTTTCTTTTATGTGCTAATGTAGCTTTTTTTTGAACATTTGGTGAACATTTGGGAAAGAAAACCAGGATAGCATTTGACTAGCATGAGGTTAATTGTTCCTTACAGATTTCAGAAAAATCTCACAGTCATACATCATTGAGGCTCTTTACAAGCAGTCAGATAATTGTGTAGAACAATTGCAACCAAGTGCATTATGTCCTTCCAGAGCCACATTAATTGTATATGTGTGATAAATATATGCAAGGACTGATTAATACATCAAACTGGACGGAGTCCAGCAGCTATGACTTATGGTCCATGAAGGACCAATACAGTCTCTCTTTAATTGCCTAGGAGGAAAGAAATAGCAAAGTTTGTCAAGACTTGCCAAACTACCACAAATAGTTATTGGTGAACATATTTGGTGTACTGAGTTAATTTTTGTTATATATACTTGCAAAATTATAGGATCCAACAAATTGTGGTGGTGTATGCATTCAATAAATTAATGATATCTTACCTGTTTTTATTTTGACCCTGGAGACCCCAAGGTTACCCTACTGTAATCCAGAGGGCTGCTACCAAACAGCAGATTTTCTGCAAGCGTGATTGTATGTGTGTTTGGGGTGTGTGTGTGTGTGAGAGAGAGAAAAACAGGTATGAGAAGTCTCAAATGGGCTGAAGTTATCTATTTTCTTTAACTCCTTGCACCCTCCAAAATGGGATAAAGTGCCAGAATCTCTGATTTCACACACTCATTTAACTTCATTGTATCACTGTTCTCTCTGTTGCCAACATTTCACTTAAAAAAGTCATTCCCACTCCTCTCTCTCTCTCTCTCAAAAAAAAATTATTTATCTTTGATATGTAGACCTCAGAAGTTTGGTCTTTATGTCATGTCTGTCTGTCATCTGGAATATTGGTATATGAGGCTCTTCCTTATCTTTAACGTAGATTCGGAAGGAACTTTCTAATAAAAAATCAGTAAGTAAATAACAACCATGCTACTAATTTAACAACTGCAGTGATTCACTTAACAAATGTGGCAAGAAAAGTCGTAAAATGGGGCAAAATTCACTTAACAAATTTCTCCCTTAGCAACATAAATTTTGGGCTCAATTGTGGTTGTAAGTTGAAGATTACCTGCACAATAATGAAATAGTAGAGTAACCAATTGTTATTTATAATCAATTATAAATATCCAAGATACAAATACAAGTAGTTTTTAACTTACAACCAACTGCTTAGCAATGATTCGAAGTTATGATGGACCCCCCCCCAAAGTTACGTATAACCCAGATTCAAAGTCCTGATGGCTAGCTCCCACCCCACAGTCATGTGATCACATTTTTGGACACTCGGCAACCAGCCCATGTTTACGACCATTTGCAGCATCTCCCAGTCATATAACTATGATTTACAACTTTTTTGCTGGAAACTGGCATTTGCTTACAAATACACCATGGTGAACAATGGGTTCACTTAATGACTGCAGCATTCGCTTTGTGAACGCCACAAAAAGGTCATAAAATTGGGTGCAGTCATGTGATGTCCTGCTTAATGATGTTATGTTGTCATGTTCTAACAACTGTAATTGTAGTTGTGGACTACCTGTAACTTAATAACACTAATAAGCTACCAACCATATGTAAAATTCCCCAACAAATCATTGCCCACAGACTGGACTTTGACCCCCATCATTCCCAATTGCAGGATGGTTGGAAATGATAAGATCGCACACATGCAAGGAGTACCAGGTTGGATAATGTCCTGCATCATGGGTTCATTCATGGTTCATAAGGGTTCAGTGAATTTCCTAATTATTTTAGGAACTCTCTTTATTCATTTGAATAAACCTGTCTTTGCCCTATACCAGTGGTGGTGAACCCATGTCACGCGTGCCAGAAGTGGCACTCAGAGGCCTCTCTGTGGGCATGCGTGCCGTTGCCCCAGCCCTGCCTCCCCCTGTGGCCCCCTCCTCATCAGCAGCCCCCCTCATCAGCGGCCCCCCGAGAAGAGTCACCCCTGAGCGTGGCCCGTGTGGAGCAGCACAGCCAAGGACATAGCAGCTGGCCAGTGGGAACAAGACTCTGCCCTTGTGTCCCGCTGCATGCAGTTGATGCTGCAGGGCGTGGGCAGAAGACGTGGCTGCCATGGTGCTGCTGGGCTGCCTGGGTGATCTGTGGCAGGTTGTGGAGGCGGTGGGTGCCCTTATGGGTGGGCGGTACAGGGGCGGTGCAGGGGTGGAGTGGGGGAGGCAGGGGGAGAAGCAGGGGTGGGGGTGGTTTTGGGGCACTCGGTCTCTAAAAGGTTCGCCATCACTGCCCTATACAGTCAGTGTACTGAGAAATTATAAAACAGTGTGCCCTACAAATGAAATAATAACTCACGGTTATTAAAATGGGCATAAGACCCTCAGGTCTTGGCACTTCATTCACTGAGTTGCATCATCTTTTACAAATAAGCTACTTCTTCTGTGCTCATTATGCAAAGTGGCAGCTGATCCAGACATATGCCGGCATGCCAGCTGCCAACATTGCCTACCCTTTAATGAAAGTAAATTAAAATCTGATCATTGGTCCACCAATCTAATAAATTAACTGTTCAGTTAAGTTGTTATAGGCATTTAGCTGCTGCCTTTTCTATTTGGAGAGTTCACAATAACCAGAAAATTGGTTTTAACTCTATAATTGCTATGACATGGCAGACAATAGCAAATGTGATCCCAGCAATGACTTATTTTACATTATTTCATTCAAATTCACACTAGTTACTATATTACTGCTAGACAGGGAGACCAAATTATACCATTCTTCCTTGCAAAAGGATGTGATCCATCTGCAATATTCTCCTTTTTTTGTATTTATTTTATGTTTAAATATAATAAAGTATAAAGAATCAAAGGAAAGATAAGAAAAAAAATAATAGCATTATGATTTCCACCCTCTTTTCTATTGAGAAGTTACCGTCTTACTCTTTTTATTCCTTCTTTTTTTTAACTTTGTAATTACCTTCCCTTTTCCTTTTAACCCTTTTTAGTCCCCAAATCTGTAAATCATTGATTCAGTCTTTTCTTCTTTTAAGTAAAAGTCCATATAAAAAGGTGCAGTCTTTCAAAAAGTTTGCACTATTGTCCTGATAAGAAGGAGGTTCTCCATATGCCAAATGTCAGTGCTTCTGGGATTATGTAGTCACAATTTCCTATAGTTTTCTTCTATTTATGAATCTATTATTTATGTACAGTATTTATTAACAATAGGTTGATATCATTTTATTAAAAGGTCTAAGTGGTAAACAAAATATCTCAAAGAGCAATTTCGCCAAGAAAACTCAACACTTAACCAACAAAAAACCCAATGTAAGTTCAGATGGCTTCTGCTACCTTCACGAGAAAGCTCACCCTAACAGAAAAGGTTTCAGAAGCTTTTTGAAGGCCAGAGTGTGTCTTGGGGTCAGCGTACTCCATAGAGAGGGGCACTAGGCCCCAACCAATTCAGCTCCCATGGGTTGGGACCATAAGCAGGCCCTGTCTGATCTAGCAGGACAGTCAAAAACATTATAGACCAAAGAATTTTTGTGATCCCTCAAGAGTTAACAAGTCAGGCTTAACATACACTTTTGTGGATGAGAGTCCTCTTCCTCTGAAATGGCATCAATTTGCTATCCAAGAAAGGGCTAGAACAGTGATGGCAAACCTTTTAGAGACTGAGTGCCCAAACTGCAACCCAAAACCCACTTATGCATCGTCGGGTGCCGGGTGGGTGTGGCCCATTGGCTGGGTGTGGCCAATTGGGTGGGTGTGGCCCATTGGCTGGGCATGGCTGCGGTGGTAATGGCAGACTGGGTGGGACTAAAAAGTTCAATCCATCAATTCCAACTTTGCAAGATCTTTTTTTTCCCAGGAGAAGTTGAAATTGACTGATTGATTGAACCTTTTTTTTTTTGCACACGGCGGCGGAGGCCTAAAGTGAAAAGGTTTTATAAAACCCAGCTGAAGGCCTAGGACTGGGGGTGATGGCACGAGTGCCCACAGAGAGGGCTCTGAGTGCCACCTCTGGCATCCGTGCCATAGGTTCGCCACCACTGGGCTAGAAGACACTTTCATTGTTAGCTACTTTGCAGAATAAATAATACTGTAGTCATAAAAAGTGCAATCCTATGCTATCTAGAATAATAGCTCAGAGTTGCTTCGAACTGCCAGATGGGCAGCGAATAAATTTAATAATAACTAAGTAAAAATTAAAAATAAATAGCTTAAAGGGGGGTGGAAATGGAGAATATGATGTTTCAACTGCTAGAACGGAAGGTCTCCTGGTGAGAATTGCATATGCTGTTGGAAGTCCCTTAGAAGAGCTGAAAACTTGGGCATCAGCCTTCCATCCTTCCAAGGTCAGTAAAATGAGGACCCAG